AGCTGCTAGCCGCCATGCAATATTGATTTTCATATCCCTATTATATATATATATATATATATATATATATATATATATATATATATATTTTTCAGTCTTTCGCTATCTTCATCTATCTATCTATCTATCTATCTATCTATCTAAATAGGGATTTTGTTCACATATACAGGGTCACATTAACATACATAAAGGGACGCGTAATAAATATTTGAAACGCTAAAATCAACAAAACATTTATCTATTTATGCACTAACCTGCTGCAACATTTTCAGCCACATCCCGAGAAAGACGCATACGCACTTCTGTGTGCCAATCTGCTACCATAAGCAGACACACGTCGAATCTTTCAATTCCTGTCGCCAAGAACACTTGATCTAATCCATTGTATTCTTATTGTTAGTGAATAGTTATTTGTTTGTTTCTCTACAATTTTTTCCCCATTTTCTTTGGTTAGGAGATGCTGGGGGGGGGCGGGCATGTAGCTAAGGCTTTCACTGACTGCGGAAACTTTTATTAAAAAGATAAGAGGAACCGGATTTGGTGAAAGTCTCGCGAGATGTGAACGAGATTTTCTCGAACTTTTCTGGATATTCTGGCTACGTGAATACACAACAAAAAATAAATATAATAAAAAAAAAAGGCTAATATAAAAATAGCTGCATGAAACCTTAGTTTCCATCTCGGTAATTAATTTATGAAGGTTTTTAAAAAAAATACTAAGAAGATGAAATCGGCTTTTATTTTAGAGAGGCGCTTAAAATAGCGTCGGAGATATATAAACACGTTTTCTTTAGGTTAATTTATTTATTAAGCTTATCATGCGATGGCACAAGGCCAGAGTAGCAAGACGCTAAGCTTGGATTGAATTCACTAAACTTATTACTGTGGCCACTACCTACTGATAACATGCATCTTTTTGGTTTTCATAATAACGGAATTTAATATTTGAACGCATTATTATAGTGGACTTTTATATTTCAATGTATTATAGTGGGAGTTAGTGTTTTAATACATTATTATGGGGGCATTTATATTTCAAAGTTTTATTATAGTGATGTTGAACGCATTATTATAGCGGACTTTAATATTCTAAAGTATTATTATAGTAGAATTTAGTTTGTTTAAGCATTATTAGAGCCGGGTTTTATATTTTAAAGTATTACTATAATGGGGTGTAATATCTGAACGCATTATTATAACGAACTTTGAAAATCTTATAGTCAGATTTTATATTTGAACGCGTTATAAGGAGATTTTATATCTGAAAATAAAATTAGAGAAAGGTTTTATATAAAGAAAATATTATGTACATTAGTCACATTATTCGGACTATTGTTTTCATCTTTGTCGCCATATTTATTACAACGTTTCGGCCGTTGTACACTCCGGCCTTCTTCAGGTGGTTGCTAACTATTTAATTGCAATAAATGTTCCGTTCAGATATTATATTATGCTATTATCATTATTTACATTATTCGGACTATTGTCCTCATCTTTGTCGCCATATTTATTACAACGTTTCGGCCGTTGTTCACTCCGGCCTTCTTCAGGTGGTTGGAATGTCGAACCGACCCTTTATTTCGTTCACTGGGGTAGACTGTTCTAGTTCTACAAAGATGAGGACAATAGTCCGAATAATGTAAATAATGATAATGGCATAATTTAATATCTGAACAGATCATTTATTGCAATTAAATACTTAGTAATTTTATGTAAGTGGGATTTTATATTTGAAATTGAGATCTTATACCAGAAAATGCTTTAATAGCATGTCTTATAGTTGAAAATGTATTGAAATTTAATATTTCAATGCATTATTATAGCGACATTTTATATTGATAGCATGTTTATAGTGGCATGTGATATTTAAATGCATTGTTATGACGAACTTTGAAAATATTATAGACGCCATCAATATTTGCTAACATGTTGATAGTTTGATTTTATATCTGAGCGCATTATTATATTGGGAGATATATATATATATATATATATATATATATATATATATATATATATATATATATATATTAGAATTTGATGCTTGGGAACATATTTATTGATATATATATATATATATATATATTGGGAACACATATATATATGTATATATACTTGGGAACACACACACACGCACGCACACACGCACTCACGCACACACACACACACAAACACACACACACACACACACACATATATATATATATATATATATATATATATATATATATATATGTATGTATGTATATATACTCCCAGAACTCCACTTGAGCTTTCTAGAGAAGGGTGTTTTAAAACCAGCGGCTCCTACTGCTATTAAGCATTACTCTTCAAGCATGAATTGAGTTCTCCGAGCCGATGGCGTATTTAGTATAGAGAAAAACTTTAAAATTCCCTTTCTTTCCGCCGTGCGATGATGACCTAGGGGTAAGATATCCGACAGATGTCAAATCACTAGGTTTTCTGATTCCGGCTTGAAGCAATCGGACGTCAGGCTTTACGGTTAACCTTAACCCAGCCACACTGATTCGCTGTGATACAGCGAGACAGGTATGTCTGTATATATATATATATATATATATATATATATATATATATATATATATATATATATATATATATATATATATACACACATATATATATATATATATTTGACGCTTGGACACCTCGAGGTGGTGTAACGGTTAACAAGCTAGTCTCGCTAGAACAATTACAACTGAGTAGTGAGTTCGATCATCCCCTAGGTGCTCCATACTTTCGGCCTTCTACCACAACTGGGCTACCTTGGAAAATCACTATATATTGCTTGGGAACATTTATTAATTGATATATATATATATATATATATATATATATATATATATATATATATATATATATATATATAAATGTTGGAATTTGATACTTGAGAACATTATTATAGTGTGACTTTGTATCTAAAATTATCATTATAGTGAATTTAACATTTGTGCGCCTTTTACAACGTGATCTTCTATTTAAAAATAATTGGGTTTGATATTTGAAAGAATTGTCTTTCGCATCGGTTAATGTTGAACTTGCCAAGCACTTGAAAAGTTTATGATTCGTGAGATATCGATTGCCAAGAGGGCCTCTCTTGTTGCGAACATGAAGTTCTTCCACACGTGGAAGAAGGAAAGCAGCTGGGTCTCCTAGTTTACAACTAAGTGAAAGGTCTTCTTTTGCCGTATTACGAAATTCATTTGTTCTTTTCAATTTTAAACAAAGTAATAAATGAACCACAAGCCGTGTGAGACGCACTGTTCTTATTTTGCTCTGCAAAATGATTGTTTTGAATATTGGCTTTGGATGCGAAGGGAATATTATTCGGCACAGTGGAATTGTGTTTTTGTATTCGTTTATCGTTATTGTATTAACGAACTTTAAAAATCAGTAGTGAATACGAATAATGAAAATCAAGCACTGGCCACCATTCATATTGGGCGTTGGTGTACTTGGTGTTCAGATGTTCAACAATACAATGGTGAATTCATTTAAAAGAAATATTTCTAAGTAGCGTGTTTGGAAACGTAGATTGATAGTAAATAAAGAACAATAAGGAGATGTTAAGATAAAAGAGATGCGTGATAGATAAACGGACAGACAGATAGATAGATAGACAGATAGATAGATAGAAAGAAAGAAAGAAAGAAAGAAAGAAAATGAACTGGTGACAGATAGATAGATAGATAGATAGATAGATAGATAGATAGATAGATAGATAGATAAAAATGAACTGGTGATAGATAGATAGATAGATAGATAGATAGATAGATAGATAGATAGATAGATAGAAAGAAAATGAACTGGTGACAGATAGATAGATAAACAGACAGAAAAAAAATGAACTGGTGACACACACACACACACGGACACTCACACACACACACACACACACACACACACACACACATATATATATATATATAAATATAATATAGAGAGAGACAAACAGATAGATAGATATATAGATAGATAGATAGAAAATGAACTGCTGACTAGTAGATAGAAAATGATGAACTGGTGATAGATAGATAGATAGATAGATAGATAGATAGATAGATAGAAAATGACTGCTGACTAGTAGATAGATAGAAAATGATGACCTGGTGATAGATAGATAGATAGATAGATAGATAGATAGATAGATAGATAGATAGATAGATAGAAAATGAACTGCTGATAGATAGATAGATAGATAGATAGATAGATAGATAGATAGATAGATAGATAGATAGAAAATGACTGCTGACTAGTAGATAGAAAATGATGAACTGGTGATAGATAGATAGATAGATAGATAGATAGATAGATAGATAGATAGATAGATAGATAGATAGCAAATATAATAGCGTTGATAAAAATGGACGAAGAAAGAGCGGACTTAATCCAAAAGGAAAGCGGGGAAAAGATCAGGGCAATTGTGAAGGGGGGTGTGGGGGGAAGAGGAATAGAAGAAGAGAGATGAAAAAGCGGAAGAGGAAGTTACGTAAATGAAAAGAAAGAAAGAGAGAAAATGAAGATAAGCCGAGATAAATGATGCGATACGAAAAAGTATAAAAAATGAGAAGAAATGCCAAAAGAAAGTCGAAAAAGAAGAGGTCAGAGGTAAAGGAAGAAGGAGAAAAGGAACATAAGAAAAGAGGAAAAAGAAGAGGTAAGGGAAAGAGAAAGGAGAAGAAAAGGAAGAGAAGAATGTAGGAAGCAAGAGAAAAAAAACGATGAGGAAGTAAAGAAAGTAGAGAAATGAAGAAATGTTAGTCGAAAGAAAGAGACAAAGAATAGAATAAAGAAGAAAAAAGAAAGAGACGTTAAGAGAGAAAGAAAACGGTGAATATAAAAGGGAGAAGGAGAGAGAGAGAGAGAGAGAGAGAGAAATTAGCAAGGGAAAAACATAAAGAAAAAAGAGAAATCAAAATGATTAAATTGGCGGTAAATTGAATTACGAGCAACAGAGTAGGGAAAAAATAGATAAACCATCAGGTACAAAGGAGAGAAAAAGACGGGGGGGGGAAATCAAAAAATTCTATGGCGAACAGAGAGAGTGAGAAAGAGATAGAGAGAGAGTATGTCAGAGAGAGAATGAATATCAGAGAATAGATGAATAGAACGATAGAAAGAAAATTTGAGAGGATAAGAGAGTGTGTAAAAGAGGGAGGGAGAATGAGTGGTTGAGAAAGGGCGAGGAATATAAAAGAGAAATGCGAAGAGGGTGAAAGTGAAGCGGAGAATGAGAGATTGGGAGAGGGCGCGAAATATAGAGAGGAAAAGCAGAGAAGGAGAGAGAGAGTGTGTGTGTGTGTGAAAGAGGAACGGAGAATGAGTGGTTGAGAGAGGGCGAGGAATATAGAAGTGAAAGGCGGAGAAAGAGAGAGTATGTGTGTGAAAGAGGAACGGAGAATGAGTGGTTGAGAGAGGGCGAGGAATATAGAAGCGAAAGGCGGAGAAAGAGGGTGAAAGTGGAGCGTAGAATGAAAGGTTGGGGGAGGGTGAAAAATATAAAAAAGAAAGGCAAAGAGAGAGAGAGACAGATAGATAGAAAGAGGAACGGGGAATGAGTGGTTGAGAGGGGGCGAGAAATATAGAAGAGAATGGCAGAGAAAGAGAGAGAGAGAGTTTGAAAGAGGGACGGAGAATGAGTGGTTGAAAAAGGGCGAGAAATATAGAAGAGAAAGGGAGAGGGTGAGGGAGAATGTGTGAAAGAGTAACGGGGAATGAGTGGTTGAGAGGGGGCGAGAAATATAGAAGAGATAGGCAGAGAAAAAGAGAGAGAGAATTTGAAAGAGAGACGGAGAATGAGTGGTTGTGAGAGGGCGAGGAATATAGAACAGAAGGGCGGAGAAAGAGAGAGAGAGAGAGAGAAAGAAGGAGAGAGAGGAAAAAAACGTTGGAAGTGGCATCATGTAGCATATAATAATAATAATAATAATAATAAGCGATACATTACTGTTGAAACTTTCAATGTTTCTCGTACACTCTCCCTTACCGGTTCTTTCCTTACTCTTCCTTTACCCTTCTATAATCTCTTCTTGTTTTATTATGTTGTCAAGTAAAAGCGCTCAGTTTCCTCAGCTTGTGCCAGACATGGCTGAACGTACGCCACCATTTTGTATAATGTGAAGTTTATATTAAAGAAGAAACATTACTTTCCTTGAATCTCATCAGTATGCTTTGTTTTGATTAATCAGAATTTAAAAAATGAATAAAGCCATGAGGAACAATTTTACATTCATACCTCTACTCATTGCTTTAAAATTATAAGGTCTTCTCCTTTTTCTTGGCTTACGGTCACATCACGTTGAAACATTGGTTCCCAGACAATCACCAAAGTTAAACAACGTCAAGCCTGGTCAGTATGGGTGACCGCTTCAGAATACAAGGCGTTGTAAGTTTGGATGTGTCCGTGGTTTAATCGATAATTCCTCGGAATTGTTAATCAGAGAGCAGAGTTCCATTTTCCTTTCGTTATATTCACTTAAAAGCAAATACCCTTGGGAAAGATATTCATCCACATCTTCTATCCCTAGCTATGGGTCACTTAATAAGACTTGTATCACTAGACCATTATCTAAAAATCTAAAAAACATTTTCTGGCTTTAAATAGCCTAAAAATTTTTGATAAGATGCAGAAAACGAATCAATCAATTAATCAATATTATTATATGTGCCGTCTTCCTTCAAGACATGGGTGATCATAGCTCTCCACAACTTCCTATCCTTTGTAGCCCTTAGAAACATGTCTTTTTACTCTCTATTCCCTGTCATCCATTTAGACAAGTTCGTTACGTAGGCTACTTGCTGCTTGCCCCTATTTCTTTTGTTGCTACTATATCTAGTGAGTGTTAAATTTTCCAAACCTTCTTTCCTCATTATGTGTCCCAGACATTTCAGATGTTTCTTTCTGATTATAAGTATAAGTAATCGTTTTTCATTTTCCCTGAAACGTTCAGGTTACTTGTATGTTTCATCCATGGTACACTCAGCCTCCTTCTGTATAAAACACATCTAGATTTTATTTACTAAGCTTAGTTTAATTTGGCCAAAGGCAACCAGTAAATAGAATCCTGTATTTTTTAAAGTCACTATTCAGTAGTAATAGTCACCCAGAATAGCTCGGTTCTGGGTAAGACGATAACCTACAACCGCGTCCTGGGTAATATGATAACCTACAACCGCGTCCTGGGTATGAAGATAACCTACAACCGCGTCCTGGGTATGACGATAACCTACAACCGCGTCCTGGGTATGACGATAATCTATAATCGCGTCCTGGGTAAGACGATAACCTACAACCGCGTCCTGGGTATGAAGATAACCTACAACCGCGTCCTGGGTATGACGATAACCTACAACCGCGTCCTGGGTATGACGATAATCTATAATCGCGTCCTGGGTAAGACGATAACCTACAACCGCGTCCTGGGTATGACGATAACCTACAACCGCGTCCTGGGTAAGACGATAACCTACAACCGCGTCCTGGGTATGACGATAACCTACAACCGCGTCCTGGGTAAGACGATAAACTACATCCAACAGCAAGGCCTCTGATCAGGAGGTTTTGAGGAGCGTGGAACCAACTCTTAATTGCTGGTGTTCCCAGGTCCAACCTGACCTGGGGTGGTAGCACCTATTAGTGTCCCAGCTATGGGCAAATAGTTAACCCCCAAACTGGTGTCAAGACACTATGAAAGTGTAAAAATAAGTTTTAATACCAGCAATAAATTTTTGAAGAAAAATTATTACCAGCAATACATTTTTGAAAAAAAAAAAATGAAAGAAAATCATTACCTGTAATACATTTTTGAAAAAAATATTACCGGCAATAAAAATTTTGTCAGCATCAAGTGACCCATTGGGGTTGGTATGACGTAAAGCAAAACAAACTAAACCAGAATAGCTCGTTAACCATTACTCACTCCGATGAGCCTTATTTACTAAGCTTATCTTAGTTTGGTAATGTTTTGCCACGTTAGCACCAAAGAATAAAACGAGAAGGCCACAAGTACAAGGAAGCCAGTAGGGATTGAACTCACTATTCGGTAGTTAATAGTTAACGACATTATCTAAGTTATCAATGTATGTTGTTAATATAGAATGGACGCTTCTAACATTGGCTTGTGTCGGAGTTGGCACAATTCAAGTTCATGAATAGAAAGATATAACGAAAATCCTTTGAGGAAAAACTTGGTTTCAAAATGATAGTCTTGGCATTAATAATGTAAAGTCAGTAATTTTTTTTTTTCTTAATGAAATTTTTTTAATGCAAGTGTTCGAATCTGATTTTAAGGCATCTTAAACATGTTGCAAAACACATTCGGTTCGTAACTACATTGTATTTAAATGCTAATATTTATCTATTTGAGTGTTAATATCTGTCTATCTATCTGTCTGTCTATCTATCTATCTATCTATCTATCTATCTATTTGAAAGTTAATATCTATCTATCTATCTATCTATCTATCTATCTATCTAAAACATTCGGTTCGTATATATCTGTTTATCTGAGTGTTACCATCTATCTATTTATCTGAATGTTACTATCTATCTGAATGCTAATATCTATCTATCTATCTATCTATCTATTTGAGAGTTAATATCTATCTATCTATTTATCTATCTAAAACATTCGGTTCGTATCAATCTATTTATCTGAGTGTTGCTATCTGAGTGTTAATATCTATCTATCTATCTATCTATCTATCTATCTATCTATCTATCTATCTATCTATCTATCTAAAACATTCGGTTCGTATCTATCTATTTATTTGAGTGTTACTATGTATCTGAGTGCTAATATCTATCTATCTATCTATCTATCTATCTATCTATCTATCTATCTATCTATCTATCTATGTACGTAGCTACCAATATGTGCAATGGCCTTTTTTTTTTATAGCCCCTCCCTTTCCCTGCTTTTTGCTTCCTTCCAATTTTTCACTCTGGTCCCTCCCATTTATTTTCCGACCCAAGACTCCCTCGATCTTACCGGGTCTCTTCTCTTTCCAACAGCTATCTTCATCTGCTTCAGTTTTCTTAGCAGACTCCAACCCCATCCACAACCTCACCCCCCATACGCTGTCCAGTCACTACCCCCCACCTCTACTCCATTCTGTTGCTTTCGTGCCGATCGCTCGAGTGTTCTATACAAGTAATTAACTTTAAGGCTTAAGCATAATTGGGTGAAACCACACGGGAAATGTCGGAATAGTTTGCGTAAAGAAAACGGACCGACAAAAAAAGAATATATAAATATATATATATATATATATATATATATATATATATATATATATATATATATATATATATATATATATATATATGTGTGTGTGTGTGTGTGTGTGCCTCCGTCCGTGCGTGTATATACATATACATATATATATATATATATATATATATATATATATATATATATATATATATATATATATGTGTGTGTGTGTGTGTGTGTGTGTATGGATGAACGGACCAGAATAAAGAAAGCGTACAAGAAAAAAGGCGAAAAAAGAAATAAAAAAAGAAAAAAAAGACAACTATTATAACAATAATAAAAAATATAAAAAAATAAAATTTTACAGAGAAAAAGAGAGCAGGAGAGAGAGAGAGAAAAAGAGAGAGAAAAAGAAGAAGAAGAAGAAGAAGAAGAAGAAGAAAGAAGAGGAGAAGAAGAAGAAAAAGATCAACAAAGAAGAAGAAGAAGAAGAAGAAGAAGAAGAAAGAAGAGGAGAAGAAGAAGAAAAAGATCAACAAAGAAGAAGAAGAAGAAGAAGAAGAAGAAGAAGAAGAAGAAGAAGAAAGAAGAGGAGAAGAAGAAGAAAAGATCAACAAAGAAGAAGAAGAAGAAGAAGAAGAAGAAGAAGAAAGAAGAGGAGAAGAAGAAGAAAAGATCAACAAAGAAGAAGAAGAAGAAGAAGAAGAAGAAGAAGAAAGAAGAGGAGAAGAAGAAGAAAAAGATCAACAAAGAAGAAGAAGAAGAAGAAGAAGAAGAAGAAAGAAGAGGAGAAGAAGAAGAAAAAGATCAACAAAGAAGAAGAAGAAGAAGAAAGAAGAGGAGAAGAAGAAGAAAAAGATCAACAAAGAAGAAGAAGAAGAAGAAGAAGAAGAAGAAGAAGAAGAAGAAGAAGAAGACGGAAGAGGAGAAGACGAAGAAAAAGAAGGAAAAAGAGAAGAACAAGAAGAAAGAAGAGGAGGAGAAGAAGAAAAAGATCAGGAAGAAGAAGAAGAAGAAGAAGAATATAGAGAGGGTAGAGAAAAAATTAAGAGAGGAGAGAATGAGAAAGAAAGAGGATGATAAAAGAACAATTGAGAGAGAGAGAGCAGAGAATGAGAGAGAGAGAGGGGGGAAGAGATATATAGAGAGAGGTGTAGAGAAAAAAATTGTATGAAGAGAGAATAAGAAAGAGAGAGGAAACAGAGTAAGAACACATGTAGAACGTTTCAAAATGAAAACTATCTGCATAATAATGGTGTCTGTAATGATGTTGATCAAGAATGTCCAAGTGGGTATTCTAGTCCAGTTGACCGACATCGACGTATGCAAGCGTCGAGGCAGTAAGCTGGAAATAATAGGGCCATATTCATCGTGACAGTAAAGATTTTAAAATGAAATCTTGACTTATGCGTATATAAAAGCATACATTTTAACGCGTCGACCGAGTGGATATTTTTCTTAATATTGAAGACACAGCAATCGGCCATCAGAGCTTTAAGCTTTTTTTGTTGACCAATGCTACAAAGAAGCCAGTTTGATACCCTTTTTAATTGGATCATACTTGAAGTCTTGTGCCAAAAGAGGAAGTTTTAAAGGAAATATGGTAACATATCCTAGGTGTGACGATAAACTACATCCGGCATCAAGGCTTCTGATCGGGTGGTTTTGAGTAGCGTCGAACCACCTCTTCCTTGTTATTTTTCCCAGGTCTACCCTGACACGGGTGGTAGCACTTGTTAGGGTCCAAGCTATGAGCAAATAGGTAATCGCCAAATTGGGGTCAACACTATGAAAGTATAAAAATAGATTTTTATAGTAAAAGTACCAGCAATAACTTTTTGAAAAAAGTTACTAGCAATACATTTTTGGGATAAAAAATATTACCAGCATTATATCTGACTGTCGACAAATCCCGTCTTTACAAAAAAAGTATTTCAATGAAACCTGATCTGCAAACCGATTTCTTATAAAGAATACGTAATCTATTCATACGAACCTATCCTAAAATATTGTCAGTATTAAATAACCCACTGAGTATCTGTCTATATATCTGAGATGAGGTATTATGTACACTATTTACATTGTTCGGACTATCATCCTCATCTTTGTTGTCATATTTATCACAAAGTTTCGGCCGTTGTACGCTCTGGCCTTCTTCAGGTGGTTGGAATGTCGAACTGAACCCTTTATTTCGCTCGCTGGGGTACACTGCTCCATGTGCTATATCTAATGAATGTCAATTATCAGTTATCTTCTGTTAATTCCCCTCCCCATGTTCCACACGGCCTTAACTAGGTATTGAACTCACACTCTTTGGGTCCTGTCAATGGATCTAACTAACGTCTTTATCCACTGTGCCATGTGTCCTGGTTAAGATGGTGGAGAACTTGGAGAGGGAAATTAACAAGAGATAACTGATATCCATCAGACATGGCACGTGGAACAGTCTACCCCAGCGAGCGAAATAAAGGGTTCAGTTCGACATTCCAATCACCTGAAGAAGGCCTGAGCGTACAACGGCCGAAACGTTGTGATAAATATAACCCATGTGTTTGATATGCCGTAAAACAAAAGAAACCAAACGAGCTAAACATGGGAAGAAAAAGTAGTATAATTATGCTTGACATCATGAAAAAGACAATAGAACATTTTAGGATACATAATGAGGAAAGAGAGCTTGGAGAATATGACACTCACGAGGTATATTATAAGGGTAAGCGAACCAGCGGGAGATATTGAACTTGTGTTAGGGGTGGGATAGTTCGGGGACAAAATTTGCTTGGCGACACAAATGAAAGGAAGTTGTAGAGATCCATGATCCCCCATGTCATTTCATGACATTGGGTGATCAGGGATCACCCGGGACAGAAAAACGTTGCTTTAGACGACATCGCCTTACGGAGTATGTCGTGAAAACAACCTCATGAACCGATCGTTCTCAACCCAGCCACTGTCTCACTAGTATTAAGTCGTTCCCTATCAAATTATACGACAGTAAAGAACGGACTTAAGTTAGTCTGAAGCGGAGAAAATTTACTGCCATTTTATGATGACAGTTACTGCAATATGTTAAGTAACGTAGAGATTCTATGTCATTTATGACAGCTTATGGTCGTCTTTTTAACAGAACAATCTCCTACGCTTCCCATTGCCCACTCTGAAAGACATTAGCGCCTTTTCAATCATGCATTGGGAAATCTGGTCAAGCGTCGCTGTGCCGAGGGCTGGGAGGATAATTTTATGCGTGTCTATATGCAATTTTTTTAAATCTAGGTTTTTAGGCATGTGCGTATTTCTATAAGCATATATATATTATACAGTTTTATGCAGTTTTCGCTGTGCTTATATATGCAGTTTTGATCTCTCTCTCCATCGATATTTGTTCATATCTATCTATCTATCTATATGAATCTGCTTCGATGACTCTTTCTTTCTTTCTTTCTTTCTTTCTTAGTATTTTCACATCTATCTATCTATCTATCTATCTATCTATCTATCTATCTATCTATCTATCTATCTATCTATCTATCTATCTCAGCCTGTTCATATCTATCTATCTATCTATCTCATCCTCAGCATATTATCTATCTATCTATCTATCTATCTATCTATCTATCTATCTATCTATCTATCTATCTATCTATCTATCTAAGAATAGATCTATGTTCCAAGCCTGACAAAATTACAAGCTGAATATTGATCTGACTTTTTCGTTGTATAATGATCAATATACTTGATCGGGTTGAGTGTCGTATATAATAAATAATATTTTTTATAATCCTTCGGCTCCGGATCTATCTATTTATCTATCTATCTACATTTATAAGGATTATAAAAAAAATATTTATTATGATATCGATAGAAATATTCATATCGATACAAATCGATATAAATACCGGATACATAGAAGAAATTCAGGAAAATCGAAAGAAAACGGGCACTTAGAATTAGAAAGAGAGTTGAGAATTCTGGGGTACATATACTGGAAAGAGGGCTTAGAGAATTTGAAACTCAGATGATCTGTTGAGGGCAAGACCGTCAATAGTAAATAGCGAACAACCTACGCCAGGGGAATGTTTAAATGGAGGTGGAACCCGAAGTGACAGGAAAAGTAAAACGATAAACTAAAAATAAATATAAAGGATAGGATGTTGTGGAGAGTCATAGTCGCTGACGTCATGAAGAGACATTGCACATAGGAAAGGTTTATAATCAGTTTTCGTTATTTATATAAAACTTGTCCGCATAGAATTTGAATGGGAATCTGATTCTGATGAACGTAAATGCAGTTGGGTGGATTTCTGCACACGTAAGCTGTGTGATTCCAAACCGGTAAGAAATATTCTATATTATATTGAATTTCTGTCGAATAACCCGTTCTGACAAGGCAAGTTCAACGTCGGATTAAAAAAAATCCTCTTGTAACAGAGTAAGCGAAACTAAATGAAATGTCTAAAAACAGAATGTTTTGTTTAAAGTTTAAGTGGTAGAAATCGGAAAAGCTTTTCTAAGAGAAACCCTGTCTTTTGTTTTCAGAAGACCGCCATCTTAAAATCCATGTCCCTTAACGGCTTATATAAAACTAATTCTCTGTAACTTTGTTTTCTCCAATATCTATAAACAGTTCATTACTATTACTATTTTTGCGAGAGGTTGTTCCCTCTTCTACATGGTATTGTATTCAGAATAAAACTTCTACAGTGTTTGCCATTCAAATCTAGACAGCCTAATCTGATCTCTTAAACCCTGACCTGGGAAAGGGATGGATGAATCCCTTCATTTTTTAAGAACCATTTTGCAAACCGAATACAGTATCTCTTAGGACTTAAACTCGGCTCCTTGAATTCATTTTCTATATTATTAACCATTTACACTTTATCCCAGATCTTATCATTTATTTAAATATTGAGCGGGTGTGATATTTGATTAGTTGTAGTCGAT